GCTTGTCCTGACCAACCGGGCCGCGGAGTCCTGTAGGCCCTGCCACACTGCACATAATCCTGTCTTGCCGGGCACCCTGAGGTCAGGCTCCGCGGGTCTTGAGGCGGGGCTGCAGAGCACTGGGCCCGGCCTAGGGTGACACCTATGCAAATTCGCACAGTTGGGTAAGTGTGTTGGGTTTGCGCATCCGGGGCGGGGCCTGCATAATCCGGGCCTTGCGCAGGTTTGGCAATACGCATGCGCATTCACACCCTAGAGGACGGAAAGCGTGCGTTTGGCCCATAAAGGGACCTTAGGTGAGCTGGGCATGCGTAGTCGGAGGCCAGGGCCTCTTCAATTGGGGCGGGACCTATTCATTCTGGGGCGGGGCCTATGGGAAGATGGACAGCACGGTCAAGAATTGAAAAGGGGAGGGGCCGAGAGGGGCGGGACCTCGGGTGGCCCCCAGGTAGCCCTGCTCCTGGGTCCGAAGCTGCAGTGGTCCGACTCTTTGCCGCGGGATGGCGTGCCCGCGGGAATTGACCCAGAACCCCCTGAAGAAGATCTGGATGCCCTACAGCAACGGGCGGCCCGCCCTGCACGCCTGCCAGCGTGGTGGTGAGGCCGACTCCCCTGAAGAGCTAGGGTGGTGCGCCACACGAGTAGCTGGATGGCTTGGGCGGGGTAGGGGACAGGTGGGGATCCGGGCCAAGGGAGGTTATTGTGACTGGTAAGGAGTCAGAGAAAGGTGGAGGGTTCGGGAGGAGTGAGGCGTCAGTGACAGGTGGGCTAAAGATAAACAAGTGCGGCAGATCAGGGGGTGGGGACAGGTGCTTGAGGCCATTCGGTTTAGTGGAAGTCAGGCCAAGCCCCCATCTCCTCGAGGAGGGGATGGGCCCCTTTGCTCCCCACTCTAAACCCAGTGGACTCTGCCTGGGAGGTCTCTGTGGGCATGGCCCCGCCCTCTTTTTTCTTTTCCTAGAGATTGGACCCATGGGCAGGAGGGAACTGAACTGTGTGGCTCTGGAATCAGTTGGCCTGAGCCCAGAACTTGCAAAGACTTAACCCATGGGCTATGTCTCTAGAGTGAGACGTTGTCCTTTGGCCTTAAGGCCAAATTTCAGGAGGAACTTTAGGGAAGTGTAGATGTGGTCAGGATAGACAGGACACCATGCCATGTGGACCCATGTTTACCTCCTAGGATATGTAAGCATCCACATGAGTTCATGTGGAAAGGTAAAACTGGAGGGGGAAACATTCCTTAACTTTCCGCTTGTCCTTAAATGAGTCTGCAGCTTTCTTCATACCAGAAAAAAAGAAGGGTTTGTTGTAAGAGTAACTGAAACATTGTAATGAGATTGCAATTTGGCAGGACATCTGTTATAACTGTGGACAGGGCATCAGGAGAATTGTGAGGCACTGGGGCTTCCAGGGCTTATGACCTCTGCTGATTAGTGAGAATAGAGGGGAGTGTTCTGTGCTGCTGAGCTTAGCCTGTAGCATAGCAATGGTTTTGACCATGAAGTGAGTCCCAGGAGAGAGGTGTGTGTGTGTGTGTGTGTGTGTATCTGATCACACCAAGAGTCCTGGTAGGGGTTGCAGTGATTTCTAGACTGTATTCTGGTGGGTTGTGGCTCTGACCAATGTCTGGAATCCACATTCTGAGTCCTCAGGGGCTATGGCCTTTGCCTGGCCAGACCTTCTTACTTTTCTGAGGGTGTGGAGGCTGAAGCACCTCGGTCTTGTGCCAGTGGTCCTGATGAGGATGGCTGCTGTTTTGACAGAAAGGGGAATAAGTAAGGAACTGGACTTCTGGAGTCAGAACATTCAGCTATAGGACCTTGAGTAAGGAGCTGATCATGGGCCTTGGGTTGTGGAAGGAGGTAATTCTTTACCATTACTTTTTTTTTTCTTCTTCTCACTAAATCAGAATTGAGACTGATTGTCAGTCAGAGCCAACACAGGTGAGCAGGGAATCAGGGCCCAATGGGAAGAGACCTGCCAGGTTTCAGCTGCTGATGCAAGGTCTGTTTCTCCAAGCTCTAAGTGTGGGATGAAAGCATGGCTCTGGTCTGAGCAGAGGGCCTTGGCTTGTGTTGGAGTAGGCTGGCTGTGAGCCCATACCGTCATGATACTCAAGAAGTCAAAAAGGTTGTGTAGGGGATTTCTTCTTCCTCCCCACTGCCATAATTTCCAGGAGAAGGTGGGTAGACAATGAATGAATGCGGAACCAGCTGTGCAGCCCCTCTGGCCGGGACCTGAGCAGGATTTTACCTCTTGTGTAATAGGCTTAGGGCTAGGCTAGAAGACTTTAAGGTTCAAGACTTGTGGGTGGGGGAAATTGACTTGTCACAAGATTTTATGGGGAAGAGGAAGCAGCTAGTCTGTGTTGTTCAGTAGGTTTTATTTGGGGTGTGGTCCCCAGGCCTCAGGGCATGGCTGATTAACTGAGAGGTCCTGTGCCACTTCTACTTGATAAAACTCAAAGCCACACCCAGGGGCATGGAAGCTCCTAACCCTCCCCAGCATTAGCCTCTCAGCTCAGGATTTGGGTCAGGGCATGGAGGAGACTTAGTAGGATGCATAGCAGAAAAGATGCTTCTGTTGTCATGGCAAATAACACGATTCTTTTTTATTTTTAAATATTCATTTATTTATTTGCTTTTTTGAGACATTGTATTGCTATGTAGTTCAGGCCGGCTTTGAACTCCCTATGTAGCCCAGGCTGACCTCAACCTCACAGTGATCCTCCTGCCTCAGCCTTCCAAGTACTGGGATTGCAGATGTGTTCCACCATGCTCAGTTTTTATTTTGAGACAGGGTCTTGCTAAGTTGCCTAGGCTTAGCTAGAACTTGTATGTACCACTGTTAGGTAAAAAGAGCCGAAAACCAGGACCAGACCAGGACCAGAACAAGCCTTTATTATGGGGAGGATCTGCTGTGCTGTCTCTGAACAAAGGAGAGAAAAATAACATGGCAGAACAGGGAGCTTCTTTTATAGTAACAGGGCGAGGTTAGCCTGAGTAGGGTGGAGTTGAGTGAGGTAGTATCAAGGGATTGGAGGAACCTGTGACATCACTAGTTGCTAGGAGGTAGCAAGTATCATGTTACCTTTTTTGGCAGGAAGAAGGGCCTGTTGGGAAGAAGACTGTCCTTCGGTGGGAGAAGCCATATTTTAACATGACATTATGGGAAGGAAGCTGCTATTCCATGTGGCAGCCATTTTAAGGCACAGAGCATTATAGGAAGGAGGAAGGCTGCTATTTTATGTAGCAGCCATCTTAAGGCAAGGGAAATCTAACATTCCAGGCTTTTGATTTATGGTTGTTGGGAAGGTCTCTTCTTTTGGAGCTGCTTTAAGGTGACAAAAGGGTGAGGGTTGGGGTTAAGCTTGGATCTGATGGGGTCAATGGTAGGTGGGTTCTTAATCCTTCTGCCACAGTGGCTGATATCCCACCATGATGAGTTCTGAGACTGTCTGGTTGGTAAAGGCTCCATGCATTCCTGTAAGAAATTTTGAAGACCACAGAACAGACAGGGTCCAGACAGTAGGATTATGCAGAGAATAGTGAGGGGTCCCAGGAAAGGAAGAAGTCATGGAAGCCACTGGTCAAAGCATCCTGGCAGAGAGTGTAGCCAGTCTCGGTCTCGTCTACATTTTTTCTATGCATTCCCTGAGTTTCTTTACCTTGTCTCCAACAGGCCCTTCTGGAGTATCACGCCTGCTGTTGAATTGATTTGGGACTGTAGAGTGACCAGAGAGAGTCAGCTACCTTTTCCGTATCTTCATTTAGCTCTTGGGGTAGGGAGTCATAGAGATGTGTTGATGTTGAGATTCCTGCCACCCAGTGCCAATTCCTACCAGCATTTCGGCCCTTATCAGAAAGGGAAGGATGGGGAGAGCTTGTTTATTGAGATAGTGGATAGGTGGCTGTTGTGAGGGCAAGACTTGCTGTAATAACTGGTTTCTGTATAAATTGTGAGGGGAGGGCTAAGGAAGCCTGCATAACAGAGGGAAGACGGGGTTGAGTTGAAACAGCAAAAGGCTTGGGAGTCACAGATATAAAACAAGCCCTTAGGGAGACAGTTTATGCCTGACTTGGGAATATGAATAACTTTAGCCTATGGGGTGGAGTTGTACTGATTTATGATGGATGAATTTATACAGGTCCAATTGCCATGTGTGGAGGATTTTATTGGGTTGCTAAGAGATCTAATGTTGTTGTGATATTTTGGGGGTCAGGGATAGTGCAGTTAAGGGGAATTGGTGTGGGGACATGGCTGCAATTGGGGTGAGAGGGACATTCAGCACTCAGTTTGGTTGCTGGCAAGCTAAGTAGGCTTGTGTTGACGAGGTATAGGAGCCTTTTATGTGTCTCAGCAGCTTTTGTTTTGTGAGTGTGTGTGGACAGATCAATGTTTTTATATGGAGGGAGGTGTTTTGTGTGTTTTGGCTATGAGCCATTCTTCTATCTCCTCCTGTCATTGTTTTAATGATCCCAGTATGTTTTTAGTGTCCAGCATGCCTTTCTTTACACATGGAATAGTCTAGAGATACAATCTTTCCCATACATAGAGCTGGACACTGCCAGAAGGGGTCAGTGACTGGAGCCACTTTTTATACCTAGCTTTATTACTATGGCACTGTTTTATACCTCTTTTGGTTATTCTTTTCTGCTGGGTGCTCAAGACCAAGTTAAAGTGTTAATCAACGTGAACCTCTTGTTATTTATCAAGGTCACTTAAGTCTCCTCAGGCCATTACTTTGTAACCATGTGTAGAGCCTCTCTGCTCCACTGTCAGTGTCAGCCATCAGGATGGGTCATGGCCTTGCTTGACCAAGTTGCTTTCAGTGAAAACTGGGAGATTTTTTTCTCTTGATGACCCTGTTTTGTCACACGGTACATTTGTCCTCTGTTGTACAGCAATCTCCCTGCTCAGGAAGTTGGGTGACTTACCAATGATGTAAGGTGTTGTAGAAAAGGTTCCTTAACCACCACAACCAGTTCCTGTTGTTTGTTACATAGAGTTCTTCCTTACCCATTTAGACCTAGGAGGTGGGAACAAGTTGCAACTCAGAATCTGCTTGGGAACCTGCTCCAGGGATTTGTGGCTGTCCCTCTGGTGAAAGTGCCAGGCAGTAGGGAGAAGGTACTGTCCACTGGCAGGCATGTCTCAGGCCTCTTGATTCCGATACCTTCAGCATATTTACAGGAAAGAGACCAGTGAGGAAGCTGAGTTCACAATCTTCCTCTTCCCTTCTGTGTATGCTCAGTGTTGCAGACAGTGTGTTCTGCTGTCCTATTGCTTGGTGGTGGGTCCTTGAAGGCTCAGAGCTACAGTTCTGGCCACACGCTGCAGCTTCCTGTGCCAAGGGGTCCCCGCCTTGTCATGCCTCTGCAGTTTTTCCACTCTTGGCATTTCCCTAGTGTTTTGCTGTTGTAAGCAGAGTTGCTAGGAATATACTTGAACTTTGGTTTTCTTTGGGACATTTCTTGGGCACTTATCTTGCGGAGCAGAGGTGGCAGCTGATTTATTACCTTGTTTTGTGCCCAGGCCTGATTTGCTGCCCTTAGTGCCCACTTGTCTCCAAATGTTGTGGGAGGAGTTGGGGCCGTGGGAAGAGGCCAGGGCCAACTCTGAGAAGACAGAAGGTATAGAAGTCCCATGCTGATACAGTAATTGGAAGGGGTGGCCTCAGCATGGGGACCAAGGCCAGGTAGGTTCCCTGGCTTGTGGCTGACACACTGCCCTTAACTGGCTTGAGGGCCCTTGCCAGCTTGTCAGCAATTGCACAGACCATGTAGGCCACAGCTGTCTGCTGGCCTGAGGATGCAGAGCATTGTCTAACTTGTTTTCTTCTCAATTTAGCCAATCCTGGAGTTTTCCTGAGAGTTTTTTCTGTCTGACTTGCTGTTGGCCCACGCTCTTTGGGGCTTCCTCTTTCCCTCCCCTGGGGCTCAGGGCTTGGGTCACATTTGCACAAAGCCCACGCACAGGAGTGATAGAGCCCCCGATGGCATGCAGAACCCTTTGTTTCTCAGCAGGACCTGTCTGGGACCAGGTTGCTGCTGCCTCCTCCACAGCCCAATTTTCAAGGGCATTGGTTGCAGAGGGCGGTTCCTGGAAGTGCTCTGCTTTATACATGGAGGCAGTGGTAGATCTTCTCCTAGGGATTATTACCCCATTTCCTAGATGAGGCCACAAGCCTCAGAGCTGGACATAAGGCTCAGCGGGTCCTTGCCCTCTGAGGAAGAGCATGATCAAGCTGGCAGTCCATGTAAGGAGAGCTAGTGAGTGAAGGGTCTTGAAAAACCAGATGAGCAGAGGAAGGGGCCATGACTGTTCTCCACCGCTGGTCATCAGTCATATCTGCTTTGGCTTGGTTGGCCCAGGTCTTTTTTTTTTTTTACCAGGAATCGAACTCAGGGCCTCGTGCTTGCCAGACAGGCACTGCACCATTGAGCTACATCCCCTGGGCCCAGTCCAGGCCCTAAGGTTGTTGAAAGGGAGGCATCTGAGGTGAACCCACATTTGACTGCATTGAAAGCTGAGCTGCGTCACAGAAGGCTGGCAGTTCTGCTGCTCTGGTGTCTGTCCTAGCTAGGTGTGGCTCAGGGGAGCTGTGTTCTGACTCTTCCCTGCCTTTAGCCTTGGCAGCTCCTCTGACTGGCACACTGGCCTGGTAGCACAGAGAACAGTGGTGGCCGCCGTCACAGGGCCTGTCATTGTGAGCATTGGTCTGGGCGTCTGGTCTCAGCTCCATGTAGCCCTCACCCTTCTAGTCTTATAGATACCTCTCTGCTCCTGCTCATAGCTCTTGAACAATAATGCCACACCATGCCCCAGGCCTTAAGTGGCTCAGACACTGCAGGGCTGCTTCCAACCCAAGCAATCAGTCTGGAGAGAGCAGACTCATTAACAAGGTGACTAGGTTGAGGATAAAGGTGTGTCAGTTGGACATGGAGACTCCGTGGAGAAAGGACTCACTCAGGCAGCAGCTTTTGAGCTGGATTTTAATGATGAAAAGAAAGTTACAACAGAGAGGTCAAACAGTGGGGCTGTGAGTGCTGGGAGCATTGAATGGTTACTAGGGAAGGGTGAGATGGAAACAGGTTAGGGCGTAGGTTCCCAGATGACAGAGGCGGGCATTGATTATCCCCTGGGTCTCCTCTGGTATGATCCTAGCGTGGCCTACTGAGCTTTTTACTGCTGCTGCATGACAGGATGAGGACTAATGAGGTCCCTTTGTATCTGTCAGAGCCCAGAAAGCCCTGGGGAAGATGACATGCCAGCCTGAGACTGGGTCTGGGGGTGCTCAAGGCCTATGTAATGCCAGGAGGTATAGGGGTGCCGGTCTTGTGCTCTGAGGGTGAGAGAACACAGGCCAAGAGGATCTGACACTGTGGTGTGCTGCTTGCCTTCCAGTTTGCATGACCAACTGCCCAACACTCATTGTCATGGTGGGCCTGCCTGCCAGGGGCAAGACCTACATTTCTAAGAAGCTGACCCGATACCTGAACTGGATTGGAGTACCCACTCGGGGTGAGGCTCTGGGGGATGCTGGGGATTTGTTGGGAGGGGAAGGGAGAGAGGAGGCTGGATGGTGGACAGGGGCTGGGAATCCCATCACGGATTGGTGGGGTTGCCGCTCTGTGAAAGCTGAGCCTTTCCTTCCCCACAGAATTCAACGTTGGCCAGTATCGCCGGGACATGGTCAAGACCTACAAATCTTTTGAGTTTTTCCTGCCAGACAACAAAGAGGGCCTGAAAGTCAGGAGGTAAGCGTGTTGGGGATCACTGCTGTTGAGATGGCTAACAAGTTGCTGCCCATTTGCTGAGAAGCCACGCTGCTCATTCATGCCTGAGCTGCTCCTGAGCCTAGCCCTGCCTTGTCGCCAATGCTGTGTGACCGGGCTGTTCTCTGGAACTCTACGGATGTGTTTGAGTTGGGGTGTAATGGGTTTGGGGGTGAGAGGAGAGGCTCTGTGGCCTCCTGGTGGCTGGTCCCTCCTCTGGTGTTGAGGACCCTTGGTCAGGAAATCCTGTGGGAGGGAAGCTTCCTTAGGACAGATCAGGGGCAGCTGTGCTGCGCAGGTGGGGAGGGCAGCCCTAGAAGGTGCCCTGATACAGGCCACAGGGACATACCAGGGCGGGGCTTCCTCTCCTGTCCCAGGATAAGCCCCCTCCTCTCTGCACATGTTGACTGTATCTACTGTGTGCTTGCCATGATCTTGGCATGTGTGGGCTAGGCCTCAGCTTTGTTTGGAGTATCCAGGATGCTGGTGCTGGGTGAGTAGTTCTCCCTGCTATTTGTGAAACTGAGCTTGCACATGATTCCCCACCCTCCACCTCATTCAGATGCTAAGGCTTTTTCCAAGGCACTGGCACTACTGGTGGTCTTAGGAGCTGCACTGTGCCCTTCTCGGCAGGAGTTAGGGCCAAGAAGCCCTTTCTCGAGAAGCCTTGGGTAGCAGAGACTTGCCCGAGCTCTGCCTTCATGGCAGGGCAGTGAGTAGAAGTTGGTTAAGCTCTAGTGACTTCTCCAAATGAAGCCCAGCATTAGGGCAGAGACCACACACTGGACTGTGTTCCAGCTGCCCCAGACTTGAAATCTGGCTGTGTATTCCTTCTCTGGCCACCAGGGGACAGGTGCTCCCAAGTGTGCTGTTGTGTTGTTGGGGCTGGTCCTGACTGAAGCACCAAGGAGGGGAGTCTGACTTTCAGGTTCCTGTGGGGAACTTGTGTGTAAAACTCAAGGCTGGGTCTTCTTGTGATACAGAGCCAGATAAAAGGGAGAGGACTGACAGCTGACCCTCATGTGGGCTGGGTGCTTGAGGCCCATTTCATGCGTGTGCGCGCACACACACACACACACACACACACACACACACACACGAGAAAACTGAGGCTTAGACCAGAAGCCTCACATAAATAACAAGTTACTTTACATTTGAATCTAAGTTGTCATGAATCTAAGCCCATTTACCACTAAAATCTATCCTTCATTCCAAAATTCCCCAATTAGTAGGGGAAAGAACATACCAAATGCCGATTTTAAATCAATCCCAAGCTATGGGCACGGACAGACCAGATCACTTGACTTTCCTGAAGCTTTAGCAGTTGGGAGTAGTGCCTTGCTTTCCCAGACGCAGAGGCTGGAGTCAGGACAGGATGGTGTTGTATGGGGCCATTCAGGGTATAAGTTTGAAACCAGGCCTCGCTGAATCCAAAGTGTTTGTGGGAAAACCAATTATGGGAGGCTGATCAATCCTCTGATCAATCTGTCTTGAAAGGGGATGGTGAGGGTGAAAGAAAGACAGTAGAGACTTGTGTTATTTCATAGTATATCGGGGGCTGGGAGGTCAATGCCTCTGAGTGGGCAGAGACAAAGACTCTTCCGGAGCTAGCCATTGTTTATTTGGTACACACAATAACTGGAGGGAGTATCAGGTGACTTAGCATATGGTGGTAATCCTATGTTGATGAGATCTTATATTGATGAGGAGGGTAAGGAAAGCATTCTTAAAATAGTATGTGGGACGAGATAGCAGGATAATAAAGAATTTGTCCTTCCCGTAGGTGAAAATTTTCTCCTCTCTCTCTCTCTCTTTCGCTCTGTCTCTCATTTATTCCTACTGGTTCTTGAAGAACCAGGATGTCTTCAGCTCGTGCACTCTTGCCTTGAGTCTCACAGTGTCATGGGACCACTGAGGCCTCAACTTGAGACTGGAAGCAAACTGGAGTTACGTTTCCACGTGCCACAGCCAGCTCTTGGGCAGTGTGACACTGGGCCTTAGACAGCTATAGTCATACTTTAATTATGAAACGACTTATTCCTAAAAAATTGTGTAGAATGGTTCTTGACAACCAACGGAGCTAGCATTTCCTTGTCTGTCTGCCACTCCACTCAAGCCATCCTTCAAAGGTAGGAACATTGAAGTAATTCAGATGGGATACTAGGTTCAGAGAGATTTGGGAGCTAGCCCAGGGTCAATTGGGGGAACACAAGGGCCCTGTGATAGAAGCCAGAGATAAGTTCCTGAGACACTTCACCATTTTGCAGACTACTGTTCCTAAAAACTCTTCTCCCTGCATCGAAAGCCTGCATCAGGCCACAGGGCCATTTCCTGTTAATTAATAGGCCCCAAATTTCCCATAAATAATTGGCAAAATAAAAGGATTAGAAGTTTTTAAAATGAACTGCATGTGGTAGGGCACCCCTGTAATCCCAGAACTTGGGAGGCTGAGGCAGGAGGATCTCCATGAGTTTGAGGCCAGCCTAAACAATATGTCTCAAAAAAAAAAAAAAAGTTTTAAAAATGAAAAAACCTGAAAAAAAAGAGAAGGAAAACCTGGGAAGGGAGGGCTGCATTTCCCAGAGGTCCAGTTACACATTGTTGATGACCCCAAAGCTACACAGTGTTAACGCTATCCCAGTGGAATGTCTAGAAAAGTATGTAACAGTCACATGCGCACAGGTAAGGGTACACGCACACGTCTGCCACCTGGTGTATTCACAGTCCTGTACACACCTCATGTGCACGTATCTAGACACCCCGTCTGTGTACATAGTGCATACACACACGCACATTACACAGTACACGTGGTGTGTGTATATGTATACAGGCACCCACACCTATGGATGCTTGGGCTCATTCACATATGTGCGGTACTGCTCCCAGTCACACTGTACACAAGGGCAAGTGCGTACACAGGCACACATGCACTCACCCTGTGTGAGTGCACACATGCACAGCTGAGCACACTCGAGCATGGTGTATCAGGGGTCTTCAAGACCACCGTCAGGCTTGGCGATCTGCTAGGACGACTCCCAAGACTCCCAAGCCTGTAACTGAACTGAGGTTTATTACAGTGCAGTGATGCAAAGCAGGATCAGCAAAGGGAACAGGTGAATGGGTGCAGTCTGAGCTTCCTCTCCCATGGAGTCACACAAGGTGCACTTAACTCCTCCACTGCTGAATTATGGCAACACATGTAAGGTGTCTACCAGGAAAGTCCCTTGGAAACCCAGTGGCCAAGATTGCTATTTGGAACTGGTTGCATAGGCACCCTGTGTCTGGCATTCTCCAAAATTCCAGCCTCCCGGAGGGAAAACAGTTATGCAGCATAAACCATATTGTTTATGTAAGCAGTGTAGACTTGTGAGTTGCTCTTATTATTCAGGGAAAGTTTTATGTCAGTGTAGGGAGCTGCACACAGTGCATATACACTTGTGCTCATCTTGTATGTACACATTGGTCTGGGCACACATACACACAAAGCACACTCATGTATGTGCTCACACAATTGTGCACACACACCCTATATATATATGCACATGGGTGCACGTTTAGGCATTGCTTGGACAAACATGCATATCCTGGCTACACACATGTGGACACATTCCCCCTCCCTGTTCCCGCTCAGCCAATACTACACATGAGGGTAGGGTCACACTCATGTGCGTGTCCAGCCGAGCTTACACATGCATACTCCGACCTAAAGGGCCACACGGAGGCATAGCAATGCACGTGTGTATCCACTCACCCTTATACACATGTGCCCACAGGCTCCTGGCCTGATCCCCCAGCGTCTCCACTGGACCCTGCGTTCCCTCCCACATGCTGGAACCACAGGCAGAGAAGCCCCTTGGCCAGTACTAGGGGCCCCATTTGCTGCTAGAAGTAGCCCAGCAATGATAGTTTTCTAGACTCTCAGAATTCAGTTTTTGGCAGAAGAAGAAGCACTTTGAGGATTAAGTGAAAGACCCGTTGGGGAACAGAAAGGTCACAAGGAGGCACGGAGCAAGGCTCTTTCAAGTGACCTAGACTCAATGTTCCCACTGGTTTCTGCATGGTTCCCAGCAGACTGTGGAGTATGTGCCTCTGCACTTTAGCACACTGGCTTCATGAGAGCCTCACACCGAAATTCTTTGACTGGACACGCGGGGAGCTTATGCACAAAGTCCAAAGGTGAAACATGGAATCAGATCTAGCTTAACTCTTAGGTTGGAAAGGTGACGGTAGCAGACAAAAAAATAAAAGTCTATCTATCTCCAGGCTAATAGCAGAAATGGATTTAAAAAAAGGAAAGGTCATTCCTGTGCCAGTCCATTTGGCAGCAATGAGTAGAAGAGCTGATTCTGGAGACAGTGTAGCTCATGGTGTACTGTTGAGAGTCGCGAGTTGCAGATGTCTGTGGATGTGGGCTGAAGGCAGTGGTGACTGCTCCCTCCAGGAGGAGGTGTGGGACTGCTCTCTCCAAGACCAGAAAATTGAACATTAAGGTTAGAGTCACCCTGGAGAATAGCCAAAGTGTCTCTCCTATCCCATCACTGACGCACACAGGCACACAGACACTTCTGACTGTAACTACTTATTTCGATAACCAGGAGAAATGTATGACACAGGAATCACGATTATGGTAATGTTGGCAGCATGGGTATATAGAAAATGAGACGAGGGGGCAATTACAGAAAAGTGATTTTTACATCATTGCTAATGGCCAGGTGCACATAGCCTTCCATCTTACAGGAACAGATTTAGCCAGGCATTGAGAATTAATGCAAACAATGAAAGAGAAAGGGAATTTAAAGAGTGCCTAGAGGCAGTACCCTCTCCAGTCTCAGGCGGGGCTTACCTCTGCCTTCCTGTAGCCAGGGCTCAGTCCTTCACTGATTCTGTTTTCTCTCTCAAAGGCAGTGTGCCCTGGCAGCCTTGTGTGACGTCCGGAGGTTCCTCAGTGATGAGGGAGGACATGTGGCGGTAAGTGTGATATCCTGGTGACAGCTGGGAGTGAGACACAGAACCCATATTATCCACCCTTTGCTTGTCAGGAACCGGGGGCTGGGGGGCGCGGCAGGGTATGTGCGTCTGGATGTGCCTGGGTGCCAGTCCCGGGGAGAGATCTGGGGACTGTGACTGGGTCCGGAGTTGCCCTTAGAGCTCGTGGCTGTGTTGGACCCTGCAGGCCTTCCCTCGTGGGCTGTATGACACCTAAGTCTTTTACACATGTTGTTTTATTTCCGCTGGCATGGTGAGTCCTGCCTAGGGTTCACTGGCTGCTTGGGAGCTGGTCAGGGGCAGGGAAGGGAGTTTCACTGTGTGGGGCCTCTGCAGTCAGCTGGAAGAGAAGACAAGCTGAGCTGGGGTGCCTGTGCTCAGACAGAGGTTGTTCTTTCCCTTGCATTTTCCTCTTGGAGCTCCCTGTCCCAGATCCAGTCTGGTTAGCTGCCTGTGGCATGACCATCACCTGGGAGTTCCTTCTCTCCGGGATTGAATGCCCTGCCCTGTATCTCACCCTTGGGTACTGACTCGTTGTGTTGAAACACATCCATCCAGCAGCTTCATGAGAAAGATGCTTGGGAAGTAAATTGTGCCTGCCGTATCAGAAATGGCTTTTTAAAATCCTTGCATTAGATTGTTGAGTATAGGGTTCTAGTAGGAAAAATCTTTTTCCTTAGAATTTCCACAACATTGCTCTCTTGTCTTGTGGCTTTTAGTGTGGCCATGGAGAATGTGATGTCTTTGATTTGTTTGTCTTCTCGAAAGTCTCATCTTTTAGAGAGGACTGGCGTTTCCTTCTCCAGAGGCCCTTGAATCTTCAAGGAAGTGTGTCCTCTGGGGGGTGTTTTGGGTCTTTTTATCTTTTCCTTCATTTCCTTTGTCTTTTTTTGTTTTGTGGGAGACTTTCTCAACATTATAAGTATTTGGCTGAGTTTTTAAAAAATTTCAGTGATCATCCTTGAGTGAGTATTCCAATTTTTGGAACTCTGTTCTTTCATGGTTACTATATCCTTTTATATCTCTCTTTGCACTTTTTTTTAAGTGGCTCTCACTGTGTATTTCAGGTTGGCCTTGAGCTAACTGTGTGGCCCATGCTGGGTTGGAACTTGGAACAGTGATCTTCCTGTCTCAGCCTCCTGAGTGCTGGAATCACAGGAGTGTGCCACTATGCCTGGTTCATATCTTGCTTTTTGGGGCCAGGGGATTTAGCTCAGTGGTGCCACCATCTGCCTTGTAAGCACAATGTCTCAAGTTTGATACCTGGTGCTGCAAGAAAAAACAAAACAAAACAAAAATCCCCTCTCTCCTCTCTCTCTCTCTCTTTTATTTTTATTTTTTTGGTACCAGGAATTGAACTCAGGGCCTCACACACTTGGCAGGCAGCACTGTACCACTGAGCTATATTCCCAACTCTCACACCTCTCTTTGAATGGCTTTAAGGTTTTTTTTGTTTGTTTGTTTGATTTTGTTATTTTCTCTTAATCTGTGTCCTGTTTTTTATTTCCTCCAAATTTCTTTTTTTGTTTGATTTGATTAGCCTGTTTTTCTTGTTAGAGGTTTTCCTGGAATATCTGGTGAACTTAATCGATGCTTCCCTTTTTATTGTTGGTGTTTTCGGTACTGGGTATTAAAGTCAGGGTCTCCCATATGCTAGGCAAAGGCTATATCCCTTAGCCCATTTTTGGTTTTTGTTCGTTTTGTTTTTTTGGTACCAGGGATTGAGCTTGGGACCTTGTACTTGCGAAACAGGTGGTGGAACCACTGAGCTAAATCCCTGACCCTTGTTTGTTTTGTTTTTCTGAGACATGGTCTTGCGAAGTTGTCTAGGCACTTCTTAAACTGTGATCCGCCTGCCGCTATTTTCTGTTTCTTTTAGTTGCTTCTGTTTTACATTTTGTTAACATTTCCATCTTCTGCCCCATTCTCTCTTATTCTCTTTGTCCTTTGCGCCCCTTTACTCGGGTTTCAGAATGGAGTATAAATAAATGTAGGTTCAGTTCATCAAACATTAGTCTGTTTTTCATGACTGTAACAAAATACTTGAGGCAGAATAACTTTATAGAGAAAAGAGGTTTATTTAGATCAAGTTTTAGAAGCTAAGAAGCTTAGAATCAGGCAGCCTCATTGACTCAGCTTTTGTTGAGGGCCTCATGACAGCATGGCTGGAGCCTGCATGCAAGGAAGAGGTTACATCTGAACACCAGAAGCCCGAGAACTAGGTGTGCCAGACTTGCCTTTTTATCACAGCCCTCTTGGGGGTATAGTCCTCGGGGGACCAGCCACATCCAGATGGCACTGCCAGGGTTAATTGGTTTCTTTGGAATTTCTGCTGGCCACACAATGCCTACACACCTGCTGTGTGTGAAGCACACATGGAAAGTTCTTCTTTGCAAGTCTGGAGGAGACTGGCCAGACAGTGGCCTAGCTGGGTCTGGCAAAAAGCCCAGCATTGGCAAGAGATGCTTGTGCTGCAGCTCTCAGGTGCTTCCTGCCTTCCTGGGGCCGGAGCTGAGTTAACTCCAGTTTGGCCCTAGGTTTTTGATGCAACCAACACGACTAGAGAGCGGAGAGCGACAATCTTTACTTTTGGGGAACAGAATGGCTATAAGGTGAGGCCTCTTTGGTGTCCCTCCTTGGCTGGGCAGTTGCACATTTGAACCCTCAGGGTTCATAGCTTCCTGATGCCTGCAAGGCTGTGGGCTGGCATGATTCTGAACGGAACATTTGGGGTGAGAGAGATTGTCCTTACTCTTTTGCTGGACTTCTCTTTCGATGGGAGAGTCCTGACCAGCATGGCACCTCCCTTAGTTCCATGGTCTTTAGCCCTACGTCCTTAGGAGAAGGGCCTGAGGGAACAGAAAGCTCTGGGAACAAGGCCCAGGGCCTTAAGTGCATCTGACCTGTGGTCCCTTCCCTCCTGCCTACCCGAGTGCTTCTGGCTCTTATTGCAGACCTTCTTCGTTGAGTCCATCTGTGTGGATCCTGAGGTCATAGCTGCCAACATTGTGGTGAGTGTGTACTTGACCTTGTTGGGGGCAGCGAGGAGATAGAAGGTGACAGTGAGGTCTTTCTCTAGCTTTGGGCTGCCTGGCTGCTCTTCATCTGAGTTTCTTGAACCTTGTAGGATGGGGAAGCAGTGTAGTCACCAGCGTGGGTCAGGAGAGCCTGCACCCCGAGGATCACTCATGTGGCAGACTGCATGGCTCATGGGTGTACCTTCTTGTTCCTCCCTCGTACTTTCTCTCTCTCTTGCTCTCCCTCTCCCTCCCCCCGCCCTCTGTCCTCCCTTGAGAGTCCCTGGAAAGTAGCATGTATGTCACAGGGTTCTGTTCCCCACTCCCAACTCTGTCCCTTACCCCCTCTGAACAGAGGACCATGTGAGTTTGGGGAGATGGGACAGGGTGGGGAAAGGCTCCTAGGTCTCCCTGAGCCACAAAGGTGAGGGACTCTGATCTCAGGACTTTCGTGTGCAAACTCAGCCCATGGGGCTGCCGGACTCTTCTCCCACTCAGTTTCCGGTCTCCAGCCCAAGCCCTGGCCTAGCCTCCCTCATCCCTGCCCAGCAATCTCCTTGATCTCTGGCCCTGTGTTGCCCACAACCCTGATGTGTCCTTGCTCTGTGCCTGGCTCTGGCAGCAAGTGAAGCTGGGCAGCCCCGACTATGTCAACCGGGACAGTGATGAGGCCACCGAGGATTTCATGAGACGAATCGAGTGCTACGAAAACTCCTATGAGTCTCTGGATGAGGACCTGGACAGGTGAGAGGAGAGCAGCAGTGGTGAGTGGGTGGTAGGGGTTGCGCTTGGCTGCCTCCTTGTGGCCTCCCTGTGGTGGTGACTGGGGACTGTGCCAGAAAGCAGAGATGGTCTGACCTTTGTTGTTTCTTTCCTTGAGGCAGAAATCATTGGCCAGAGGTGACATGCAGAACACCTGTTACCTCATCTGGAACTGTGCGAGTCAGGACTTTCTACTGTTTCAGCACAGAATCAAGCCTGATTTTTGTGCAGAGGGCCTCCACGGCACTGCAGACATCACATTCTTGTCTCTCTGTGCAGTCTGCGTGGGGAGGGGAGGGCACATGCCTGTGTGGATGGGAGGAGCGAAACAGGGCTATGCAGTGGTCCATGGAGGTGTCTGTCTGAGGATCTTACAGCTGGGATCAGCAAGTATTTCCTGTAAGGGTCACAGAGTGACTCTTTAGGTGTTGGAGGATTTATAGTCTCTGTTTTAGTTAGCTCTGCCGTTACACGTACAAAAGAAACAGGACGTAAATAAAAGAGCATAGCTCTGTTCCACTAAAACTTTGTGAAAGCAGCCTGTAGGGTGGCTGTGGCTTGCTGGCCATGGTTTGCCAACTCCAGTATCTCAGCATAAAGTCAGTGGTTAGGTAAATAACAGTGTAGCCCTTGGTAAAATATGACATCATCCTTATAAATTATAGCTATGGAGAGACGTGAGGGCACGTGAAAGACTAGAATATAAATGTGTACTTGGGTCCTTTATAATTACAGAAGAATATGTAATTCATGTGAACCAAGGCACACACACAGCCTTTAGAGGGAGGGATTCTGGGAGATTATGGCAGAGTTGTCCCTGGACTGCCATGGGCTGAGACATCTGTCCCCACCTTGTTAGGCTCAGGAGCCAGCCCAGGTTGGGGTGGAACTGAATGGCACCCGGGCCCCTGCTGGCCTCTGTGCTCTCCCTTGTCTCCCCTGTACAGTTCTGTTTCTTCTCATTGTTCTGTGATGTGGCCACACTAGAGGGGGTTGTCTGGGGCAGCTCCTGTCAGATTTGTCAGCAAAAGTGGCTCCCGTTTTTTCTGGTGGTGTCAGGGTAATGACCCTAAACTGAAGCCACACAGTCTGACAGTGAAGATCCAGATGGGAACTTCCAGAGGGATCTGAGGCTGAGTCGCAGTTGGCCCTACTCCTGCCAGCGTAAGCGAGCTCTCCCAGCTGTGGTGCTGCCCAGGTCCAGAGCAGAGAGAGGGTGAGCTGGCCTCGTGGTCTTGTCTACTGCCTGCCTGATGCAGGACGTGGCAGCTGCTCAGCACACCCAGGTGACCCGGACTGGGGTTCTGGGGTAAGAATCACAAGGGAAGGAGAGCTGACCAGGGAGCGTTTGCTAGCCACTCCCAGGCCAGCCCTGGGGAAGCTGGCTCTGTGTTCAGTGTGCAGCCTGTATGTTGAGATCTGTAGGCAAGGAAGGGTTGGGCACATGTGAGCAGCAGTCGTGATGTGTGTGGCTGGCTACTGCTTTGGATGTTACCTTCAGAAGCATGATAAGCACTGAGCGCTTCTCGCAGGGCTTGTCTGTGTGTCACACGTGGCATGTTGCTCCCGCCTCCCACCTATCACTTGCACACCAGCTGACGGTCCAGTGTGTTGTGACTTGGGTCTAGTGCTCTTGGATGCAAGACCTTAGCCCTGGCTTCTGTGGCTGGCCAGATGTGCTCTGAGGTCCCCAGCCCCACTCAGGCCTCTCTCTACCTTCTCTCTGGAAAGGGATCTGTCCTATATCAAGATCATGGACGTGGGGCAGAGCTACGTGGTGAACCGAGTAGCTGACCACATCCAGAGTCGAATCGTGTATTACCTCATGAACATCCACGTGACACCCCGGTCCATCTACCTCTGCCGGCATGGGGAGAGTGAGCTCAACCTCAAGGGCCGGATTGGTGGGGACCCAGGACTGTCCCCTCGGGGCCGGGAGGTCAGTGCGTGTACTGTGTGTGAGTGTGTGTGTGTGCGCGCTATACCTCTGGGTGGCTATAGAGATGCATGTGTGTAGGGGCTAGGCTTCTGTTCCATAGCTGAGTCGCAGCACACTGGACCGTCAGCTGGTGTCCATAGCTAATGTACACTTGATGACTTTCATTCAGCCTTGAATGTTCTATCCTGTAGGAAAAGTCACAGCACCAAGCAAATGCCCGGATCTATGAACTCCACGTGAGCCGTCTCCAGCTTGGTCCCCTTGGTGGCAGTCATGCCACCCTTGCAGTGACCTGACTGCCAGCCATGCAGCTGATGACTGTGCCACAATCTAAGGGGATCTCGGGGCTTTGTGGGGGGATTGTGTGGCCCAGGGCACTTGGACTGGAGTAGGGAGACAATGAAGCACGGCTGGAGCTGTCTCGGGGTCTGGAGGAATGAATGACATCACCTTGTGGGTGCATGTAGTTGGGAGGTGAGCTCATATTTTTGCTAAGCCTGTCCTCGGAGGAATAGATGGACGCGGTCTCTATAGTCCTTTGAGGGCTGCTTGGAACCTGTGGTCTGAATTGGCTTGTGATGTGTTTCAGTTTGCCAAGAGCCTGGCTCAGTTCATCAGTGACCAGAACATCAAGGATCTGAAGGTCTGGACGAGCCAGATGAAGAGGACGATCCAGACAGCGGAAGCGCTGGGTGTGCCCTACGAGCAGTGGAAGGTCCTCAACGAGATCGATGCGGTAACCACAGACCCTGCTCCTGCCTGCCTAGTGGGCACGGAGCTGAGGATTAGGGAAAGCCTCTTTCTGCACTTTCTTCATTGTTGTTTTTGATTTTGGGTTTTTTTTGTTGTTGTTTTTTTGTTTTTTAACTTACTGAGGATTGACCCCAGGGAGTGCTGAACTACATCCCTAGCCCATTTTATTTTATTTTGAGTCAGGCCATCACTAACTTGCCCTGGCTGGCCTGTTTTGTTTTGTTTTGTTTGTTTTGAGACAGGGTCTGCTGTGTTGCCCAGGCTGGTGTTGAACTTGCCAGTCTCCTGAGCAGCTGGGATCACAGGTGTGTGCCGCTGTGTCTACAAGCTTCGTTGTTTTCTTTGATTCCTTACCTGCTCTCTCTTGGATTTAAATTAGACCAACCAAAATTTATTTTGATGTCTCAACTAAAGCCTTAAATCTGATCTTTCCCTGGTTAACTCATTCACCTCTACCCATCTATCCTTTTCCTGTCAACTTATTTTACTTACTTTTATATGAAGTTCTTATACATGGTATACGTGTCTGTTTATGCACCAGGATCACATTGTTTTGCTTATTGTACATCTTGCTATGTTTATTTGCTTTTGGCATAGCTTTTGCTTTTTTTAAAAAATCCTATTGGATTATCTATCTTTTTCTTACTGATTTTTGGGAGTTATTTGAATATTCTGGATCCGATGCAGATATAAATGTTCTGGTTTGTTTGTTTTTGGTACTGGAGATTGAACCCAGCAAGTGCTGAGCTATATCCCCAGCCCTTTTTAAAATTTTATTTTGAGACAGGATCTTGGTAAGTTTCTAAAGCTGGCCTTGAACTTGTGAGTCTCCTGCCTCAGCCTCCTAAGGCAATAATTATTGCATGTACAGGGATTGTTGGTGTATGGTACCTCACCTGGCTTGTGCCTAGTAATTTTTGGCTGGATGCTGGAGATTTCACAAGGCCAATGGTAGAGATGATTTGAAGCTCTGGTTAATGTTACCTTTCTCAGAGGAATTTATTTTTGCTACTGGAAAATAGTTAAGGATGGGTTACTTTAGTCTAGTCAGAGATAGAGCTGTTTCATAGTGCTTTGATGTTTGTAGTGGCTACTCAGTTTTCAGGTCACTCCTACACCTAGGCTAGTCTTTTAAAGTTCTGACTGGAAACTCTGTAGGCCCTAGGCTTATATTTTTTCCTCTTCTTCCTCATCTTTCTCAGCTGAGATTTGTGATAGTCCCACCAAACTTCTGCCCATGTAGTTTCTACTTTCTTCTTAGTTTCTTATTACTTTTGAATTGGCTGAACCACAGAGCAAAAAGTCATATATCAAATTTGTGTTAGGCTTCCCTCTGCTCCAGGTTTTTGACCCTTTTAGTCCTCTCTGCTTTTATAATTCTATGATGGTGTCAAACGGATTAAACATGCTTTTCTATCTGGCTTTTCTAATTACTTGTACTGTTTTTTTATTTGTTGTTTGTTTTATCTTTGAGAGAGGGTCTTGTAGTTCAGGCTAGCCTTGAACTCACGGCAGTCTCTTTCCCGAGTGCTGGGATTATAGGCATGCACCACCACACCCAGCAGTACTGGGTTGTTGGTTAAAATAAACTAGTGTTCCAATGACTGAAGCAGAATACTCTGAGATTTTAGTCTTAGACAAATCTCACTATTAGGGCCAGGGATTCAGCTCAGTGGTACTGCCACCTGCCTCTCAAGTGCAAGGTCCTGTGTTTGATCCCCCAGTACCAAAAGAAAAAAAAGTCTCACGAGTATTGAGAGTGGTGATCTTAGTTACTTTCTGGTTGCTGATACACAATGCCAACCCCCACAAATGTAAGGTGGAGAGCTTTATTTTGGCTCACAGTTTGTAGAGGTTTCAGTCCATAGTCAGCTGACTCTGAGGCAGAGTGACAAGGCAGAGAGCGGCCTGGCAAAGGAGGCTTGCTCGTGCCACGGTGGCCTGAAACAGACAGAGATCAAGGGAGGGAAAGGGAAAAAGACCCTTTAAGGCCACACCCCCAGGGACCCACCTCCTCCCATCATGCTTCTCCTCCCAAATCACATTTAGCTATAAACTCATCAAATGCACCAGTGATTCTCTCACCCCCATGGTACAGTCACATACCCAAAGCCCCACCTATGAGATCACGAGACTTTGGGGGGACATCTAGATATAAACCATAAGACTGGTTTTCTGGGGGTGGGTGGGAACAAGCTGGGGGAAGGAGATTAGTTAAGAGTACAGTGGCCTGGTAAGGTGATGGCAGGGAACAGATGGATTTGAGGCATGTTTATGCATTTGTTCATCATCTGAGCCTACCCTTTGGCTGCATTCGCAGGGGCAGGGTCCTGGAATGGAAGTGGTGGTCCTGAGTGGCCAAAGGGAGAGAAGCATCCAGGATGACTCTGGTTTTTAGCCCCTGGATGGGTTCAGGGGCAGGGCAGCTGATGCACTCACATGAGGAAAGGATAGGTAGATGCTCAGTAAGAATGCCCTGAGAGGAGGAAGTTCCTGCATGGAGTTCGAGAGCGGATACCAAGGAGGCAGCTGGATCTTTGGGGTATTTGGAATGTGAAATGGAGTCAGAGGGAGAAGTAGGGACCACGGTAAAGCTGTCCTAGCTCTCCAGGGGTTATGGAGAGTATAGTCATGGAGCCTCTGTAGGGTGGGAAGTGAGGCCAGGCTCCAAAGTGACCACCGGGCTGTCACCACAGTGCCCCTGGGGATCTTCACGTGAGCCAGAGGGCTCGGGTGGAAAGGGAGTGGGGCTAGGGTTTGGAGCTGAAGATTGCTGGACCCAGCAAGCTTGCAGGGAAGGAAGGAGGAGGGCTAACGTGTGGTGCCAGAGGCCCAGGTTCCTGAGCAACAGGCAGTAAGCTACCACAGGGGCTTCATCTAGTAACTTTTTTCCTCAGAAACTTACTACGCTATTTCTGGCCAAATTCTTGTGCTCTGGGCCAGGTGGGCCTCCCACCTCTCGGGAGGCTGAGGCAGGAGGATCACCATGAGTTCAAGGCTGGCCTGGACTACATAGTGAGACCCTGTTTCAAAAAACAAAAAAACAAAACCAAATGCTTGTGCTCTAGTAATTGTCCAGTCAATTCTAGATTGTCTCAAGGCACTACCATTTGAAATAAAGATGATGCAGGTTTTGCCTCCCTAGCCCATGTACCTTGTATTTCTGTTTCATATTTTGCGTATGGGAATGAGCAAATTGGACCTTCTTCTTTTGTTGTGAATTTAAAGGCCTGCCCTTCAGGCTTGCTGTGGAAAGGTAATAGGGCTGAACTACCTATTCCTGATTTATTTTCAAACTTTATTATAAAAATTTTCAGTTGTACGTGAAAGTCAGGAGAACACAATACCATGATTTATCACTATCCAAATACCAACTTGAACATGCTCCGCAGGTTTGTTGTAACCAGCCATTCCCGTCCTATTCCCATCCCCACTGGGTTGTTTTAGCGCAAATTCAGACATAACATTTCATGGCAGTGTGTATCTCTGGAGGGTATGTTGAGGACTCCTTTTCATCAACATAACCATCTCATCGTCGTGATACCTTACAAAAATAGTCATGAAATACCTTGTCTGTATTCGGACTCCTCTGCCTCATAAATTTTCTTTAATTGAGATTGATTTATTTGTTTATTTATATTTCATTTTATTTTGGTACCAGGGATGGAACTCTGGTCCTTGCGCTTGCAAGGCAGGTGGTGGCACCATTGAGCTAAATCTCCAGCCCAGAATCAAAATTTAAACCAGAAATCCTGTTAATTTTGGCACTGTGGATGAGCCTGGAGGACACTGTGTGAGGTGAAATAAGCTGATCACAGAAAGACAAATACCATGTGATCTCCTTTATACAGAATCTAAAAAGTTCCTCTTCTAGAGGAAGAGGGAAGAACAGAAGGCATCACAGTCTGAGAAGAGGGTGGGAAGGAAGATTGATGCCAGGTGTGGTGGTGCAGACCTGTAATCCCAGTGACTCGGGAGGCTGAGGCAGGACAGTCACAAGTTCAAGGCCATCCTGGGCAATTTAATGAGATCCTGTGTCAAAATAAAATTTTTCAGGACTGGGGTTGTAGCTCAGTGTTTCTGTCGCCTGCCTCGCAAGCACAAAGACCTGAGTTCAAACCCCGGTACCAAACAACAAGAAAAACAAAATAAAAATAAAATAAAAATGTTTAAAGGATTGGAAATATAGCTCAGTGGTGGAGCACTTGCCCAGCATACCCAAAGCCCTGGATTTGATCCCCAGTACTCCCCACTACCCCCTAAAAATAGTAGACAACAGGTACTAAAAGATAGTTACATAGGAAGAGTAACTCTTTGTGTTGTATAGAAAAATAGGTAACCGCAGTTAACAACGATTCACTGTATCAAAATAACTAGAGAAAGGTTTTAAGTGTTCTAACACATTTGATAAATGATTGAAATGAGGGATGTGTTAATCACCTTGATTTGATTATTATACATTGTATATATGCTTTGCTAAATCACTAAATTGCCCAGGCTGGACTGGAATTTTCCATCATCCTGCCTCAGCCTCCCAGAGTACTAGGATTATAGGTATGTATCGCCACTCCTGGTTTAGCTTTTATTAATAAGTGATATTTTCCTGTTGTTTTTTATTTGTCCTGCATTTGGGAATTCAGAAACCTGAATTATGCTGATACTATAAAATTAATCTGGTGTATTTTCAGTCTTTTCTGAGCCTGTGGGATTAGCTCTTTGGCAAAGTTCTTTTTGATCTTGGGTTTTGTGTTCCCTGAGGTAATTTTTTGATGACAATTAAGGACAATTCCTTAGTCCTTTTTTGTTTTGTTTTGTTTTGTTTTCTTTTCTTTTTTTGAAACAGGGTCTTGCTATGTATTCCAGAGTGGCCTCAGATTTGTGACAATCCTCTTGCCTTAGCTTCCTGAGTGCTGAGATTACAGGCATGTGCCACCATACCTGGCTCCCAGCATGCTTTTTTGAGACGTGGTCTTACTCTGTTGT